CATCAAATGTTCATCTTTTTTATATTCAAGGAGGCGAGTGCTTACTGTAAGCTTATTTCATATTGCACCAACTTCGCGAACTAACATTACAGTAATTAGAATAGACCCATTTCCATCTTTTATACTACTATCGGAATTTTTAAAGATGGCCGGTGGAAGAAAAGCTTATAACGTTTGAATGGAAAGTCGTAGATTTTCCACCATTCAATAGGCGACAGTCGGGGGCACATGCCAGCATGGAAAAGTGATATTACTAGGTACTTTTTCAGACCAGTTTTCGTCTACGAAATTAAGGGCAAATTATTGAATCTTGTTGATGGAATTTTTTTAGCTAGGTTTGCACCCCGACATGCCCTCTTCACATTGGTATCTAAGCAATTTCTAGATTTCGCCTCGTTGAAAGACCCGAAGTCTTATAAAAGACGAATTTCACGTGGGACATTTTTCGCTGAAAAATAAAAAATTACTCCGAAGATAGGTTTTCGATGATGCTAATCAACATGAAAGGCCTTATTCTCTTTAACATGTACGACTCTAAATGTGATATCTTTCCCGATACGAACATGTCCGTATGTCATGCGAGGACGAAAAAGAGGAAAGGAAAAAAAATATATCTATATATACGGGAAAACTGTTTTCGTTATTTCGTTTCGAAGTATATATTATTCTGTTTTAGATAAATTCTTTATTCATAATGCCAAAAGGTTATGAGTTTTCTCAGGAAGTAAAACAATTAATGTCTCATATTATTAATTTTGTTGAAAGTGAAAAGAGTGGTCCAGTAATTCCTCTCTACAATGTGAACGATCGTCTTGTCAAAATGTTAGGTATTTCTGAAAGATCTGTCCGCAGATTAAAGCAGGAATTTCAACAGTTAAGACAGAAATAAATAAATGAACAACAACAGGAAGAAACAAATGAACAACAAAAAGAAGAAACGGAAGAGCAAGGTGAAATAGATGCAAATATTAAAGAACTTCGTAGTCGCACTATCCCATTGTCAACGTCCAAACATCCTGAATCTTCAGGATCTAATCCACCAGCAAAAATTCCTTGTCGTCGACATACTGCCACAGCTTCTTCTTCTTCAAGTAAAATCGATCTTCCTATTCCTCAGGCACCGCCTCCTCAGAAGAAAAGTAAAAAATTTATTCCATTATTTAATCTGCGGACAGATCTTTCAGAAATCCCTAACACTTTGACAAGACGATCGTTCACATTGTACAGAGGAATTACTGCATTGAGCGAAAACGTTCGCTAAGATCATTTTTTATTTCGCAATAGTGTTTTTCTTGTTGTTCTAAAAGTAAACGTACTATTTCATCTAATTTAGAGCAAATCTGTTCCAAATCTAATCTTCGATCATTTTTGTCATCGTCCTGTTTAAATATCTGTTTAATATCAATCGGTAAATTTAGATCAGTTGTCTTTTGTGATATATATCATTCATCTAGGACGTAAGAGTTTTGAGTGGAGGAAGTAAAAATAGTGTTGAACGGCATGAAAATAACGATTTTTGGGTGAATGTGATGATCTACTTTTTCGTTTAATTGATGTATAAGAACAAATGTATTCTGTTTTTTACTCTATGTAAGAATCTATAATCTTGTTAACTGACGGAAAAGGCCCTCAACTGCGAGTTTCGAACATGATACTCGAAGCTGCTCTTAGTGCAATTCATAGTGGATTTTCCCGAAATGAATTTTGTAAAAGATCAAAAGAAATTATTCGAAAATAACTTTTGATCTGATCAAATTGAAGACAGCGGAGAGTTGCAAAATGGGAAGATCCATTTGATATAATGCGGTGAATTGTGCGCTAAAAGCAATCGTGCAGTTAAGGAGCGTCCCTATTACCCAAAAAATTTCCTCATACTTTGCCAGTTTGTAGAGGACATCAAACTACCTGAAGTTTTTCGATTTTTAGAACAAACGTTCGGCACTTTTAAAATTTAAATTTATTAAAATCGTATACCTTGAAGAACACGACTTACGAGGGAAGTATTTCAAACCTTGATTCCGCAGCAAAAGATGTTCAGCATGTCGAAATGCTTAGTCGAGGTGAGCTAGACAAAAATGCTTCATTCCTCTGGAAGTAGAAAAAGATCAACTTGAACACGATTTTTTTAAAGGATTTCCTACTTCCACAAGGATAAAACATTTTTTTCCAGAACACTTCGACTGATGCGCCTCGACATGCTGAATATTTGTACTGCGGAAGCAAGGTCTGAAAATGCTTCCTTCGTGAGTCGTGTTCTTCAAAATGCTCCACAGTGCTATATCCTAATCGCGACTTATCAGTTTATGTAAAAGTGATCCTAGTGGGAAACATACCTTTGCCACAGTGTATGCAGCTCTTTCTCAGAGGATGTACGGGCACGTGTGGAAGCATATGTTGCGCATGCTGATGCATATTCCGCTCATATAAAGGTACATTTTGCTTGATTATTAGAAATTCTGGTTAAATATAAACAAAAACCTTCAACTACTTACTATAGCCATACATTAACTATGCCGCACATGTTTTTACACATGTCCATTAGATCCGGCTTGGTCGATAGCCTATGACAGCGGAGGGTATGATAGCATTATCCATACCTTATATTTCTCTTCATCACAGGCGTCAGAATTTTGTACAGTCATGCTTTAGAGCAAAAATCCGACTTTCGAGAAACGATTTCAGTTACCTTCAGATTCTTCTTTTGATAATATTAAATATCTTGCAGTTTCTAGCGGTAGAAAAGCTGATTCCGGCAGCATAGGTTTCTAATTTTATCCGCTAAAAGCGAAATAACAGGAAATTATTTATGCAACTCCTTCTTACTGCTTTTTTTCATCAACGCTATAACTTAAAAAGATTCCTAACTTTGGAATCACGTGTCCTAAAAGCCTAAAAACTTCAGAGTATATGTAACTTGATGTCCTCCAGAAACTGCGAAAGTTTGAGATCAAGTTGCAAACTAGGTCCCTCCCCTCTTAAGTCCTTCTGTTGAGGAATAGCTTCTACTTTTACGAGAGAAGACACGAATATTTGTCCAGACGTTGCTGTTGGCTCTTATTAAAACAAAGGGAGAAACATGCGGAATAGGATAAATTTGGATAGAGAGTGAAGAAAACGATTTGATCTACACGTCTTATAAGGATGGGTAAATAATTGTTCATTAAATGTTTCAAATTCTTGTTCATATATTTTATTCATATATATTCTTCTATGTTTTACTATATGTTTTTCTTCGCCTACAGCTGAACAAAAGAAAGAAATGAATCAGGCAATTTATTACATGCACAAGCTTGGCAGATGCTATGGAACATCTCCGCGAAAATGAACAACCACAACAGTAGGATAACAGCAGCAGTTAAAAATTGCGTGTTGTACGCCTGCATGTCTGTGTGAATGTGGTTAAAGCAGACATTTTCGGGCATAAAGCCCCCTTCTTTTATTCTGTCTGTTGTGTGTGTGTGTGTGCCTTGCTTTTTTTTTAATTCTTTCTTTTCAACACGGCTTTTTACGCGTGTGCTCTAGATCAAAAAAATTGCCTGATTCATTTCTTTCTTTTGTTCAGCTGTAGGCGAAGAAAACCATACGTTGAGAATATTATTTAGAATAGAAGAACGTGCGACCGGCATACGAAGTTTTTTTCCAACATAAATAGTAAACAACCGGTTACCTTACATACCAAAACAATTCTTTTGCAGCGAAACGTTTTTAATCCGCCGAACGAAAGTAAGAAAATAAGTCCACTGTTCAAAAAAACCAAAGTAAATATATAAACTGAAAAAAAGAATTAGGTTGTGATAAACTATTAAATAGTATTATTATCAAGTAATGAATCCCACGCCAGTTCTTCGAACAATATTTCAAATAGCAAAAACAATTAAAGAAATATCTGATCAAGTTAAAGCTAATAAACAACAATGTAAACGTTTATCATTCCGTATTGATTTAGTTGTATCAATGTTAAAAGTATATGAAAATAGCAAAATCAATCAACAAGATTTAATAGCACCACTTGAACAATTTAAAATATGCTTAGAACAATGTTTAAATTTTATTCAAAAATTTAATGATTCACGATGGTATGAAAGAATATATATGAATAAAATATATGAACAAGAATTTGAAACATTTAATGAACAATTATCACAAAAGACAACTGATCTAAATTTACCGATTGATATTAAACAGATATTTAAACAGGACGATGACAAAAATGATCGAAGATTAGATTTGGAACAGATTTGCTCTAAATTAGATGAAATAGTACGTTTACTTTTAGAACAACAAGAAAAACACTATTGCGAAATAAAAAATGATCTTAGCGAACGTTTTCGCTCAATGCAGGAACAATTTCGACATGGTCTGGGAAAAATTGAAAATAATCATAGAACAGAAATAGAAAAAGCCGAACCAAAATATTTACGAATATATTCACATGATTTAGTAAGACGTAGAAAAATTGGTTCAGGTAGTTTTAGTGATGTTTATTCTGGTTATTGGAGAAGTCGTGAAATGGAAGTAGCAATTAAATGTATTCGTTTAGATAATAAGTAAGATTTTTCTTCCCTATTTGTTACGCATATCACGTAGTCAGGGAGGGCACTTTCCTTGAAAACTTTGTACGAATACTACAGACTGAAAATGTAGGCCATACATTTAAATATAGAATATGAAAATCTATTTTATAGTTAAGATGTACCCAACGTCTATTCACAATTATCTAGTCTTAGAAAACCTTCCAGTTTTGTCGCTAATAAGAAAATGGAAAATTTATGTCAATAAAAAATCTTTTACCGATCGATACTCTTTGTTTCCATTCATGTGAGCAGCGTTAATAGGGAAATTGTAATATCTTTGGAAATAAAATCTAATTTTATCCGAATTTCGAAGTGAAAAATGCTCAATTTTCTGCTGGAAAAAACCATAAAAGAAGTTTTATGCATCAGTGTCGAAGATTGTTTCAAACGTTTACGCCTGCCGTATTATTTTCATTTTCTTTTTATTCTAGTCAAATTGGTGATGAAAACATACGACGAGATTTTATCAATGAAGTAAGGCAGATGTCTTATATCCCTCCTAATCGCAATGTTTTAGGCTTTTGGGGTGCATCAATTACATCAACTGATTATGAATTAGTAGTTGAATTAATGCCATTGGGTTCCCTATACGAACTATTACATAAAAGAAAAGTAGAAATAACATGGATTGATCGATGGGATATGGCTTCTCAAATAGTTGAAGGTGTTCATCATTTACATAAACTAGAACCTCCAATTATTCATTGTGATATTAAATCAATGAATCTTTTGTTAAAGCTAGAACATAGTAAGAGTTATGTAGTTAAAGTAGCTGATTTTGGTTTAGCTAAAGTAAAACAAGAAACATGTAGAACAGCAAGTAAAGGTGAAGTCGCTGGTACTTTACAATATAAAGCACCTGAATTATTGAAGTTTGGAGGAAATACAATGAAATCGGATGTTTATGCAATAGCTATTGTTATGTGGGAATTAGTGAGCGGTAAGATACCATATGCTGATTCAGATCAACCAACCATCAGATTAGGCGTCTTGGATGGAGACAGGTTACATATTCCAAGTGAAACTATTCCAAGTTTTAGGGATATAATTTCTCATTCATGGTCACAACAGCCATATGATCGACCAACATGTGAAAAATTAATACAAATGATAAAAGATGCTAGAAATATAAAAATATCGTCAGAAGATCTATTTTTACAGGTATTACAGAGAAAAACGTCAAATGTTCAAACACTTAAACGTCAACAAAACTCATTAGTTAATACAACACAAGAGTTATCTTCAACAACAACAAAAGGTACATCCTATATGCCGTCATGGTTACAAACACCAAAATGTTCTCAACGTTTTTGGCCTAACAGTTTGGATAACAATACCAAACAAGTATCTAAAACAGAGAAAAAAGATCCAAATTCATTAGTTGCTTTATTTAATGATGATAATCATGAATCAAAAAAGTAAGCAACAAACTGAATAGGTCTTTGTCAGACACATTGGTAGTGTGGAGCTTTTCTAGTGCATAAGCTAGCCTAGAAATAACAATCGGACCGATTTTTCAGACAGAAGAAGCACAGTTAGATAGTACGCAGTAAGTCACTAGGGCTGAGATTTTATTTGAAATACCGGAATTGTCTGAACCTGAAAACCACCTTAGTTTTGGGCAAAAAACCTAAAATATCTGAAATTTCTCGAAAGTTTTCGGATCAAGACGATATTCTTCAATTTCTACTGTCTTTACAAGTTCTACTATCGATTAGACCTATGCATTTCTTTTTGTTTACTGTGCATAAAAAATCGTATTATTAATGTTAATTAAAGCGAATTTATTACACTGTTATTTGTTTTGCAACGTTAGCATCTTTTACCAGCGATCCTTTTCGTTTCAATTCTTTTGTAATGACTTCGTTACTACTTCTACCTCAATCGATACGCAGGAAACAGGAAAGAAAGCATTTTTTTCTGCGGGCTATTTCTGAACCTTGGCTGTTTGAATAGGGCGAACATGACTTGAAAGAAAGATTATATATATACATAAACGTATGTACATATGTCTGATGTACACGTTTGCACGTGTTGTCGTCTATGATGTATCACCGAGGCGTCCGTCCCCTGTAGAAATATTTTAGTTTTGCATTTGATATTGTAGAAATTTTCAGAAAGTGTCACTCATGGTTGATAATATTTCGCTTTTGTATCTTTTATCTTTCGAGTTTTGTCAAATTCCTATGCAAAATGCGGCTGCTTTCTGCGGAACTTAAACTACGAAGCAAAGATTCGCTTTAATAATTAGTAAGGACCGATATCTACAGAGTTTTCAAATTTCAAATCTCTTGAACATTTAGAAAACTTTTCAAGTAGGAAACTTGATAAAACATTTAGAGATTTTTAACGATCTTACAGATTAACTAAATGAAAGTCTATTTCAGACAATAAACTCTTTGAGGACCCAAATGATTTGTTTATGCATCAAATAAAAACAAAATTATTTCTCTATGGTAAAACGAAATAAAGAAAACATCCGCAGAATGAAGAAAAAGTAGTATAAAGTTGATTTTGAGATAAACGCAGGGTATAAGAATAAAGCGATGGATGCGCTTGTTTTTCTAATAATCTTTGGTAGAAGATAACTGAAGAGCTACAGTTTTCACTAGTTTGTAGCCAAGAGTTTAATGCATCTCTCTATAAAAACATAAGTTTACAACCTTTCGAGAAAGTGGTTTTTCTAAAAGATCGTTAAAAAATCAAAACGTTTTACATGACGCACCTTATTAACTTCCAAATATGGACGACAAAAAAAGATAGACTGAAGTAGCCTCTGCATAATCACGCAGGCTCAATTTCTCAATCTGCAGTTGTTTCGCGATAGGATCAGTTTTCCTAGGAGCCCCGTGATCGATCGTGGATCTCTGAGAGAAATTTCAAAGACTAAGGAAAACATAGGCTATTGACCATTCTGAATCTGGTGGTAATGTTTGCTTTCAGAAAGACCAACAAGAAAACTTTGTGAAAAGGAGTTGAGAAAATCTTAAGCTTTGAACTCATTGTACAATACTAGTTTCATTATTCATCAGTTCTTTCTTCATTTCTTCCTCAAAATCCAACCAAAGCACTTGAAACATGCAGAAAATATTCTGTTTTACTTGATTTGCATGCTGACACAGCTAGTAACTGAAAATCCTCGTCTTTGCACTTTTGAGATTCTCAGGTGTTTTTATCAAACTCAGCATTATCAAACAATAACAAGAGACAAACTGTACAGTTGTTCTATATATAGTAAAAATCGCATAGAGTAGAAGAGGCGAGAAAAAGAAAAGAAAACACTTTTAATCGATGACATCATTTTAAATGTACTATATAGACTTTAAGGTCACGCAAGAGAGCGAGAGTGCAAACACACAAACTAGACGAAAGTGAGTGCAGTTCTTCTTCAATCTTTGGGTGGTACCCATCTCTTGTCTTCACTGAGTCGTTCAATATTTCGACTTTGTAAGCCGTTTGAGTAGACATAGAGTGGTACTGACTTATCTGTACCATTCAAGATGGGATTAGTGGCACGAATGAATAACGATTCTTTAACGAGTAATCGTTAACTCGAGCTAATGCTTCATCAATGACTGAATTGATGAAGCATTAGCTCTAGTTAACGTTAAAGAACCTAAGGAACATGAGCCAAAATCAGCTACTGCTAAACACTATGAAGCAACCAGACACACACTGTCACGTGACGATTTCAGAACTGTCTTAAATGAACAACATAAATATCGTTTATTCGCTGAAGAATCGTTATTCATTCGTGCCACTAATCCCATCTTGAATGGTACAGATA